TTTAAATGCGTGTGTGTGTGTGTGTGTAAAAATTAATAAAAATAATAATAATAATAATAATAATAATAATAATAATAATAATAATAATAATAATAATAATAATAATAATAATAATAATAATAATAATAATAATAATAATAATAATAATAATAATAATAATAATAATAATAATAATAATAATAATAATAATAATAATAATAATAATAATAATAATAATAATAATAATAATAATAATAATAATAATAATAATAATAATAATAATAATAATAATAATAATAATAATAATAATCATAATCATAATAATAAGGATCGAACAAATGGGTAGGGTAAACAAAAATGGCATCAAATAACGAAAATTGTAAGTAACGATTATAATAATATGTTTAAGATGGACAAAAACTAATAACTTCAACTGACCAAAATTTAATGCAAGATGCAGAACACACTTTCCACTTGTATGCATTTTTAACAACAACAATGACGGTGAGATGCGTGATAAGAATTTAGATGGATTTGGAACTTCAACTTTTTTTGAATTCAAATTTGTAAATTATATATGCATTTTAGGATATCTGCCGATCTTTAGATAATATCATGTAATGCAAGATTTTTTTTTCTATATTGAAATACTTTATGATGATAATGAAAACTCAAAGAGTATAATTCTATAATTTGTTGCTATTTTATTTACTATGAATATTGTTATTTCTTGCTAACATTAAACGTAAAATATCGTTAGAATATATATTCAAATTTAATGAAAATATCATGTTTGGACATGTGAGAGAATTAATGAATTTTTTAATACAAAAAGAGAGTATTCGATAGCAATTATGTGGATGCATGAGATGACAATGATACAACACGAAAAAAGGTGTATCAACAGTACACAATCAACAAAGAATCAACAGCGTTAAATATAATTTTTTTGACAATGTAATAATGTCCGAAATTTTGATATAACGGAAAACATGCGATAAAGTAATAAATTTAAACAGGCCTATTAAAGGGAAATGAAAAATGTAACAATCGTCTTTACGTATAACATTCGACGGCTTATTATAACAGTAACAATGCGCCAAATAGAAATTCAACGTGAACAATGGGAGAATCTTGGGACGTGTACCGTGTATGTCAGGGCTGACCAAAAAGCGTAGAATTCGAACACAAACGTAAAAACAACAGAAACAGTAACATTCAGGTAAGCAACATTCGAGAAGCATTCAAAAGCAGCATAATACGTTTGTGTATACTCTACTCGGACAATTCTGTTGCGTATTACAGAAAGCGCGTCTTTTTTTTTCGAAATGTATCTTAAATATCTTCATTCGAAATGTATTTTTCAGACAGCTGAGAATTTAATTTTAATCGTTACTACGGGCAAAGTACAAATCATCCTTGTCGTGAATTTTCAATTCGATATCGAGTTCATATCAAGTTTATCTAGAGTTCAATGATTATTTATCTGGGTAATTAATGATTACCGCAAGAATATATATACGCGTTTATCCTAGATCTTAAGACTATGTCGCGAAAAGTTCCTGACTCTACGTAAGTAGTTAATGTTAGACTGTTCCTTATATAATTCACATTAATATAATTACTTTTTTAATTGACAGATATATTTCTCTGATCTTACTATATGTGATACCAAATACTTACGGATTGCTATGAATCTATCTATCCTAATTTTATTTATATTCCTTACAAAGGTCAATAAACGTAAATAATAGAAATCTACGAGATGAAGCTATCAACTGTAAATTAAAAATATTCGATTTTTTACTTCTTTAGATGAGTAATGTAACGTTTTACAGTGAATATATTAACAAAACAATTTTTTTCGCGAACGAGACAGTTATGTAATACTTTATTGACAAAAAAAAAATGAAAGAAATACTCTATAAACTAGAATAAAATTTGCAATTGATAGGACGACATCTCACAACGCTTTTTCAGAGCGTTCTGTAATGACTTATCCTTATCATTAATCACCGGAGGTATTATCCATTCGTCTCCGGTATGTTTCTGAGCATATCGGTAACGAAATTAGAAACTACATCTAAATATGTATGACACGATTGTGCGACGTTAAGTTTTATATAAGTATATTAAGTAATCCACGTTCTAAGTTAAATATTTGCTGATAACGTGAGAATAATCACGAGACAAACAATTTTTTTTTTTTACTTATGCATTCGCTATTTTTGTGATTATCGGAATACTGATTAGCTGGAACTAAGCACAGGAGATTTGAGAGTGTATTCAATTATGCAGAGATTAAATGCACGCAGATCCTGAAAGGAACAGTTGGTCTCGCAAAACAGCAATTAAATTTTACAGTACATTTTCATTTGTAATTTTTACTAGACAATTTTGCGAAACAAACTCTTTGTCATCCTTCCAGCATCTCCGCACAGTTATAAACCATTGAATTTTTGTTTGCGTTTCTTTCTTTGGTAGCAATCTCAAATAGCAATCTCTATCTCAATCTCAGTACATATTGTAAAGTCACACAAAATTATTTTCGAGGCATATCAGCTTTGTCTATTAAACATATTGTTTCGTAGAACGTATCATACTTTTCATATTTACATCTTTGTTTCATTTTTTTTAGGGTTTTCATTCTCTCTTCTTTGTTATGAGTAAAAAATAAATCAAAATATTCAAAATAAAAAATAAGAAAAAGAAATAAAGAAAATTAAAACTAAGAAAATAAATAGCAAATCAGACGTGAAATCATCGATAAAACGTATGAAATATTCAACAAGATATATGACATATATAATATATATATATATATATATATATAATAATGAAATATATACGATAAAGTTCACACAAAGCGCAGGCAAGTAAAAGAATTTAAAGCTACAATAAATTCCGTAATTTTAGAATATTTAAATGTTTGGATATATGAAACTCCATCATTTTTACGGTAATCAGAGAGTTTGCTGTCAGTAACATTATACCAAACTATTATATCAATAATATAATTTGCTGTTCGGGGTAAAATTTTATTGGCATAATATAATTTTTACGATTTCATATATTTTTTTTACTGAGATCGACGTTACCTGCAGAAAATGTCTTCCAAACGTAAAAATGACAAAGTTTTTAAAACTCCAATTCTATATTCTCTTAACTCAATGCGAAATTTTATGTTAGCGCAAGATGAACATGATGGAGATGTGTGAATAAAATATATATAATTTGCATATATGAATATTTCTGTAATACACATATTTATGGCAAAAAGAAAGATAAAGAGAGATTCTAATATCGACGAAGATTTCACGTAGATTAGCGAAACAAAAACGAACGAAATAAAAGAAAATAAAAAAATAAAAAATAAACTTATAATACGGAAGTTAATAAATAATTGAACGCGAATTAAATGCCTAAAGGCAAGATTATGATTTCATCTTTTCTATGATATCAAATTTAATTTTCGCTTGTAGTCAATATCGAAAAGATTAATTGATATTATTATCTAAAAAATTACATTATGTAATCTATAATGAAATTAAACAAAATTGAAACAAAATATATTACTTTTTGTCAATGGTCCCACGACGTCCATGTTGTCCGTGATTTAAACGATTGAGTCCCACGTTGCAATGACAATTCGGTATTTGATTTCCATGTATCTCGTTCAATGTAGTTTTGTTTTCCGAGGGTAATCTTTCCGATGGTTTCGAAGAAGCAATTTATCGTATTGCTTGTCCTTGATTTCTTGATTAATTGTAGAGCTTCTCTTGCCTAATGAAAAAGATCAATAATAGTTGTCGATTAGATAAGATTTTACTGATCAGCTTGTCGAGGATTCTTGCACAGTCGGAAAAGTTCGCGATAGCGATTTTTGTCCTAAGATTTGCGTCGAGTCATCAAGTGCAAATGCCTTTTGGTAGAAATTCTGTTTTTTATAATCTTCATATAGATTCGAATCTTCGTGCATCGATAGATATCGATTTTGTGTAGAACCGTGTAAAATTATTAGTTGAAGAGTTTGTTTCGAGTATATAGTTTCTTGTTTCCTCGTGTATTTTACTGCGTCGTTTCGTGTTCGGTTTTTGCTCGTTGAACGCAATTTCAGATTAGAAAATTAATTTATAAGTTAATTATGCCGCTACAGAGCCGCGTGCAAAAATTATTATGCTTGCTTTAAACATGATGATAAAAGTTTCTTCGCCAAGTTTGTTGGCAATTTCTAATTGTTTTCGAAGTATCCTTGTATTGGACCAAAAAGGACTCCGCGTGTGCTGTTTTGCATAATGTAATCCGGAAAAAAAAATAATATAACGAGTATCGTAAATTAGCTCAATTGTGAATGATTTAAATAATTCTTGAAACAACATCCGTTTTGCGAATGTTTTTTTTTTTTGCATACTTCCCTGGATTTTGTTTATGAATTTGCATATCTTTGCTTTTGAGAATATCTGTTTTGAGCGCTGCTATTATTCTTCGGTAATCATTAATCAAATTCAAAAATGTTAAATCTCAAGAATTGACGGTGCGTTGACTCGTCGATCCGAAATAACTTACGAATTTCGATCGAGAGCTATCAATTATCCCTCCAGCCAAATTGAACTCTGGAGAATCGTTTTTCGATGCAGTTTCGTTCCGTGCAGTGCTGTTTTGGCTGCACGATATAATTTACGGCGTGATTTTCTATTTTGCATTTTGCTTTTGATCTGCTCTGAAGCCTTAATCGTATGTTGTAGACGTGTGCGTCTTCTCTTTGAATCGTGACATAATCAAAATAGAGTCTTGCGAAACTGTTGCACTTAAAGTCGCAATACGTTTTCAAATAATTATCGATAATTCGTCCTGTGAACAGATTTGAAATCATGTTAATACTTCTTTGATCGTCAAATGTGACAGATTGCAGCGCGTAGAAAGATTGTTGCGGGAAGTGTAATGAAAACGTTTTCTCGCAAAATAAATCTTTGCTGTAAATCGATATATGTACTAAATCAGAGTTTAAAGGCGCGGCTTGTGCTGCGGCCGTAGTTTAATAACGTTCTGCGAAATTATTCCTGATGCGAGACTTGCACTTGCATGTAACAATGTAGAGTTGCCGGGTTGAAGTCGGAGGAACTGATTCCGTCCATGCCGTGATCCTTTCGAGGAGAGATATAGAGAGACGTTTTGTCCTTTTTGGATCCAATTTCGAGCGAAGCATAATTCAGAATTTCGCGCGATGCGAAACAGTACAGAACATACTATAATATTTCAATGATTATAATGCTTTCCTCTCATTTGAAGTAACTGCAAAGTAATCCTGAAGTAAGTCGAGTGGTGTACATGCTGACATTTTTCGATGATTTTTCAATAATTTCAGAAAATAAAAGAAGCAGATCTAATCTCCTTTTATCCATAAACTTTCTGTGTCCATCCTTTCCATAAATTTCAGAACAGTTTACAGATAATATTTTGTATTGTTGCTTTTCGAAGCAACACAGAGTGATAGATAATATGAAATGGCGTTTCCAAGTCTTGCTATTTTTGACGAATTATTCATGTTGCGTTATTTTGATTTTACTGCTTGGAAAGTGCTTTTGTTCTTCGGTCTGGCGAGAATAACAGGTGCAGCCTTTGTTAGCCAGGTAGTTCCGGAATTTCTTTAAATTTTGCCAATTGTCGCGTTAATGATCGACAATTGACGTCCGATGATTGTCCGTCTGGCGATTGGAATAAATTTTCTTGAGACGGAAAATGATTGGGTCCGGTGAAAAAACATTGCTGCTTTAGTTTTTCGAGGTCGATATCGGAAGATTCGTTCTCGATGAATTCGCGGAACTCTGTACACTTCGATGAAGATGCTTCGTTCGAAGGTGTGTTTCCAAATGTGTGCTAGGTAAATCAATTAATTCTCTCAGGCTGGCCGGGTAGACACGTGAAAGCCTGTTTTCGCCTCTTGTGCAACATATAAATGCGAAAAGTGTTTTAATAAACACGATAAAAATTCAACTAATTCCCCATAGTATATTATAAATTTAATAAATATAATTCTGCGAGTAATAGCTTGAGATGTGAGTGAATCGAAGAATTGCGCGATCGTCGCTCTTGATCTCCGATGATCTCCCTCGATCATCGAGGAACGCGAGATCGCCCAGAAGATACTTGTTATCCGTCCACGTTTTGGTTCCTCGTTGGACAGCTGGCTTCCGCTTGATGCTTGTTTCCGGCTGCACCCGTCGATCTTGATCTTCCCCTGCCGTCCCGTCGACTGATGGATGCCCCAATTACCCGTGATTGATGCTGCCTCGTTGCTGCAAGCCGTGGCGGTGAGACCTGGAAGGATGTGAGCGTTAGCTACGAAAAAAAAAAAAACACACAAGGGCCGGTTGTTCATGTTCCAGTTCACCTTGAAATTCTAATCTACTGCAATTTCTACCAAATGCTCTTTAATTGATGCTAACAAATAATCTCTCTTATGTTTCAGGTAAAATGCAAGATGTGTTTGTAAAGTGTGCATAAACGTTCGCGCAAACGTCGTCTTGGATGTGTCGCAAATATCGGGAGGCTAAAAAAACGCTGTTCTGTTCTTTTCCGCCGTACGATAGAATTAATCTTGTATATCATCTTGAACGTCTCTTATCTGCCGATGAGTTTCCTTGGATGAAAAATTTCAAATAAATTTTGATTGGTACAAACATAATCCTGGTAAAGTGGCGATGACATTGTCGATTGATATTTCGATTATGTTTTAGATCAGCGTTCAAAAATTCCTTTTTGATCCGGACAAGCAGTTTCGATCAGAAGACGCTTCGCGACGCTCAATTTCAATGGTGAGTTTATATCGGCTGGATGTTCCAAAAATCATTAATTATAACATTGAAATATAGTAGATCAATGTAGCAAATTTCTGTCAAATGTAAAATTTACAATCTTGCGGCTGTGTGTGTATGTGTGTGGTCGCTGGCTGGTTGAAATTTTGAAGCGAGAACTGACACTTGGCATAATTTGGTAATTATCACTTATTTATGTACGTATTTTGAGATATGCAACCCCGATTTTTATTTTCATTGTCGATTAACTATCACTAACACAACTAATACTAATTAGTTATTCAAGCTTTTAATAACATATATTTTTTTATTTTGCAAAACCCTTGATTATTCTTCTCTCAAGTCATGTTTTTATCAATATTTTTTTTAATATAAAACTTTGAATTCTTTCTGGACCATTTTTTCGGATTTTGTTTACGTGACTCTGTCGGGCAGGATGCGGTCGTGTAATAAAATGGTTCGTTATTTAAACCATTTTACGAATTTCTTGAGAGAAAACGCTAAATGTGCTTTGGAAATATGTCAATCATAAATTCATATATACTCGTGATTTCACAGAACAATTCACGGACAACACCTATACAATAGACACAATTATTTAAAAAAAATGATATTTTGTACAAGCACTTTTGTAAATTTTAAACGTATAAAAAATAGCGACACGCGCGTGTTTACATGCTTGACGATATGTCAATACGGCGTAATGAAGATAAGCCGCATTACACAACGAGATAACACCGATGCAAAGAAGGATGAAAGTTTATTATTATTTGATCAGCATTTATACGCTGAGCAAGTCGTGTGATATTTTGTTCATTAATAAAGTTCCGTATCTATACAATCTTCAAGTATGAGTATTTCAATCTTCATATCAAACCAAAAATTGATTACACACGCGTAGCTTAGCACATATTCCGTCTTTCGATTTTTGTAAACGTAAATATATTCTTGAATGTTTTCATTCAGTTTAATGTTATTATTTATATCTTAGCCACGGAGGAGATATTTTTCAGTTGTCGTTCTTCTCTGTTGAGTAACTTCTGATCTTTTTAAAACCTTTTTCTCGTATCGCGTAGCAAAGAGATATGCGCGTTTAAGGGTCACGATGCATTTATCCGTGGTGTTATCGAGGAGTTCGAGAGATACCAGAACAACGTATCGCTAACTCGCCAACAGAGAATGTGTCTGTTCTTTTCAGCTATACATTTTTTGCACTTTTTATTTTTATCAGTGACGAGCGATCATCGTGATATTTTTTTTCTGCAAAGATTTGAAAGTTTTGAAGCGGAAAATATCACTTGCACATGTATGTTGCACCATCACAAATAATAGCCGGTAAAATAAAACTGATGTGCAATCTTGAAAAAATCTATCTATGCCAGGTTGAAGTTTCCTTTTTCTTTTCAAGAACAGTACAGTAAAACATTATAAAGCACAAGCTCTATTTATTTCTTGTAATTTTAATACGTATTTCTTGCAAATCTTTCAGACGATCCTGCTGGATGCAATTCTCACAAGAAGAAAGTTTTCATTCAATTACAGATATGTCGTGACACGCACTATTGCGAGAGCAGCTGGTAGTAACCTGCGTATAAGTCTTGAATAAAACGCGCAGTTTCATGTGATCGCATTGACAATATGTCAATTATGCTCGCTACAGAGGGAGGAGAGTATAGAAAGAAGAATACACGAGCGCAGAAAGTGTGTAGCTGAACAGAGGAACAGAGCAAGCGAACAGAGAATCAAAGCATCAGTGGTTGCATATACAACCGGAACAACCGGCCCCGGAAAGACCGGAGAGCACAAAAAGAGGGCGAAGCGTGAATCGTGGAGGTGAGTGTGGCCGCAAGAGAGAAGACAAAGAAGTCGTGCTGTTGTGCTGCTAGTGCGGGATGCCGAACCGTGGGACTTACGTGGGTATTATACACGAGGTAAGAGTAAGTCCCTTTAGATTTTTCTCTCTCTTCTCTAGGAACGCGCATCGGATCAAGGAATGAGGAATGTTGGAAGGGAACGGGAATGAACGACATGTGTGTGTGTAATGACATACACCTTTCGTATGAAGGGTAGCGTTGTGAGGGTTAAAGCGGAATTTTTTGTGGCTCGTTAAGTCGTTGAGAAGTCGCGACCGGATGCTAAAACCGTGGCTCTTTGTTACACGAGTCCGGCCTGCTTCGCGTTTTGATATCTAGAATCTTTTTATTTTGCTAACGATCGCGTGGTCGAGGTTTCGCGGTGTGTTTGGCATTCTTTCGATCGTTAGAGCGATTTTGACGGGTTTCGACGACTGATTAATCTAATTACGTTGATCGCATGAAATCATCTTGAGAGCATCGTCTTGAATCCATAATTCGATACACTTGCAACTGCGATTTTGATCAATCGATTTCACGGATTAATTGAACTCGCGTGAAACTGATGATGGTGATTTTGATGATAATTTATGCAGAGCACATTGTCTTCCCGGACATTTAATCTGAGAAGTGATGTCTTCTTAATGAATCACAATTTCTATACATTTCTGATATATCTCTCTCATCATTTGCGGTCGAAATTTTGACAAGAAGGATAATTTTACGATTGAAGAGAGAAACTTCTCTTTCACGGTCGATATATTACAATTTTATTGGTACTTTTGATATTTTAACAGTTTTTGTATTTATATTTTTTTTCAGAAACAGAACGATGGTATCGGCCGCTTTATGCATTGTGAGAAAGTCCGTGGATATATTTTGTACTCGTCTGAAGCAATCAGAATTAATTTTAAGTAGTCAATATACCACAGTATAAAATTCAGATATCAGGAATTTGTAGTGCAGAATAACAAAGTTTTGTAGTGCAACATTAAAAGCAACACGAAACTATTTTTACGATTTGCTTTCTATTGCTGGATATTGTCATTATTATAATAGAATTTCTCGATATTTAAAAAAAAGCTCTTTTAAAAACACATACTTTTAAGTCTGAACTTTATTTTAATTCAATATAATTGTCTTTCAATTTTCTACATCTTCTTTTTCATCTGATGTTTGATGTTTTTGCATTTTTTTCAAATAGAGCAAGACGATCCCAAGATACTGACGTATAAAATTAGAAAATTTCAGAGATTTTTCTCTCACTATTTTTTCAAAATACACTGTAGAATGGAAGATAGGAGAGCAAATAAGATTCCTTTGTTTTCTCGTTAAAATGGGAATATTTTCTTGTTGAAATATCGGTGCATATATAATAGTAACCGTAACGTAAACTGTCATTATATTTATTATTGAATAGCCATCGCATTATTTTACTGCAAGCTCACTTTTTAAATAAAACATATGTCATCACTATGCGAGATTTGAATTTTATTCAGTAAAGTATCAATAGTTAATGTGATGTGACAACTTGGTAGAATGAAAAATAAAGTATGCACAGAGCATGTATCATGCTGTTTTGAAGATATAAAATAAATTCGAATGATACATTCAATAATAAGCTCTGTGAGAAATGTATGTATATCTGAAAAAAAAAAACTTTCTCTATTTATACGCGCATTTTCTTATAATGTAACCAATTTCAGAAAAGTATCATAACATGAATTTGGAAAGTATACAAACTACCCTCATATGACACAGTCGAGAGAGTTGTATGGTATTAAAGTACGATAAGAATTTATCCAAGATCTAAACGGAGTAAATTTTGCTATCGTAATGGATGCGTGTCGGATAAATCGATATTTTTGTCATTTATTTTCGATAATTTAAGCAAATTTATCTTGGGTCGATAGCTGAATTTGAAGATTAAAATAGATCTTAAATAGAAATTGATATCGCGATGTATTGATTACTGATATTTTCAGTAGTATTTAAAATAATAGTATTCACATACATACACACAGACACACACACATACCCACAGACACACACACATACCCACTCACTCACTCATAAACTCCTTTGGAATCTTATTTAGGAAATACATTTCGCGTATATGAATGTGTTCAGCGACCGAATCAATGCAGTATTTAGACTAATACGTCGACAATTCTTGTTTTTGATACGATAGACAGTTCTTATTTTTCCGCGATAAAGAAAAAACGAATCTACCCTCGTATCTATTGGTTGAATACGGGAATAGATGCATGAATCATAATGGCGTAATTTTTATCGTGATATTTCGACATTGAACATTTGCTTATTACAATTTTGAATAAGATAATATTTAGATATTATCAATATTTTATCGATATTTTACTATATATATAGTTACCATTTGTTTATTTTGTACAAGACTTGATAAAATGCAATGCCTTATTCGCCAGATAATATTTTAATGAAACGTTTAAAAAAAAAATCTGTGTTAAATATTAAAAATCCAATCTTTATTATCAAAATTTTTTCGGACCAGTTTTAATGTTTGTAACACAAAACTGTAAATTTCATTACTGATTTCATTTTTCTTTTGTCACACATTAACAAAATGTTTATATTATCATTTCTATTTAAAGTCTAAAGGATTAGATTCAAATATATGTGTCAAATAAAATTGCAAACCATAAAGTTTTTCTGTCATATTAGAAACGAAATTTTAACTGTAGAGTAGTAATTTTTCTCTACATCATATCTTGACATTATATGTAACGTATGTGTCTGTTGAATGCTTATAAATATAAAAATATTTAAATGCCTATTTTTTATATATTTGAATTGAACAACCACACAGTTTCATAATCGTGATTTGAATAAAATTTAGATCTTTCTTTTCCGGCGCACAAATAAAATATCAGTCAACAGTCAAAAATCATAAACTTTCTTTGCATTACAAGGAAAAATTTTCTGTAATTTTTACTTTGTTTATTATTATTAAAGAAGAGACTTATTAAATATTTGTGTCCGGTTTCCTATTTCCTTTCTATCAAATTTCAATCGTGTTTCACAAAGTTCAGTTGTAGTTATCTAGATTTTTATATTTCGGGATATATTACTAATTTATGAGAATTAATATTTATTACAATTTAATATTGATTACAATGGCTAACTTCTATTAATTCTTTATTTAACTATTTGTCCAGATAATGTAATTTTGCAGTCCATGAAAAAGTTTTGTTGTGTATTATATATCAGTGAAGCCAATTGCATATATCTGACGAAATTGGAATTGACATTGAAATTGGAATTATTAATATAAACATTTATTTCATTAGTTATTTTATATGAATGTACATAACGCAGTAATTAAATCCAATTTTAGTTTACGAAATTTGCTTATTCTGAAACTTTCTAGATTGAAGTTATGAAGAATGTTAATCAGCAAATCATATTCATTATGAAATATAATATCTTGGTATGTCGGCTGCGTTGGTTAAAATAAATATGTATGTGTCGATAGCAGTAAAAAAAGATGAAAGATAACGATTATTCAAAGAATATACCGTGTCATTATTTTTATCTGCAAAGTTTGTGATAAGTTTCTGTTATATTACTGTTAATCAAAAGTACATAATTAATTCATGAATACTCAAAAGGAGTAATCGTTTATTAATATCGTCATGATGATGTAAGAAGTATAATAAATTTCACCCGACTGTTAGTATAATTTTTATATTTCGTGGATGCGTTCTATTTTTTCCAATCAATATAAATCGTTTGCAGCAATTTTGTCATATTTTTATCTTTTGTCATATATTATATACCTTTGTATTGTGTTTTGAAGTACTACTGCATTGATTCACTAACCTTTTCGATAACGATAAATTGGGATCGACTTCGAAAAATTTTAACCATTAATTTCACATTAGATTGTTGCCAATATAATATTTTCCAATAACGATAGTCAGCAATTATTTTTGAACAGCACATACTTAAATATTTTTAACCTTGAGATTGAATAGCAATTTGAGTCGGTATAATGATCAATTAATAATTGGTTGCAACAAAATTGATTGCTTCAGAATATTTGTCAATATCTGTCGATGTCATCTTCGATTATGTCAGGTTTGGAGCTAAGGAGATATTTCACCTACTTGAATCTGCACATATTTTAGAATCGAAATTTAATCCCACTATTGCAGTACAAAAATTTTGAGGAATGATACTTTGCCATGAAGATTTTCGCGTTGCATTACTTTGTTGTATTACTTTACGCACAAACACATGTAGTGTATCGACAATTTATGATATGCGGGATAATATGTGATGCAGAGGTATTTTTACGCATGCATTTTTTTCTCTCATTGCGCGCATTTATTAAGCAGTTGGTGAAATTAAAGGGCAGATCAGATCGAGAGTCGGTACAGAAACAGCAGTTTAAATTTATCGAGAGTTCAACATAAAACGGTAATTAAATGCATGCATTTGTTATTTTATACAGACCAACTATACTACTGATGAATCTGTAAATCCAACTATTGATCTATAATAAATGTTAGGAGGGTATACGCGTTTAATTCACTTAGAATATACATGATTAACGGTAATCGAAAACATTCTGAAGATCTACAAGTGCAGCGAGAAACTGAGATTGTAATCGTAATATCATTACTCTCGCAATCTCGAAATAAAAGATTATTCAAGTGATTTTTTTGGTATCCTGGTGAGATGGCAAATTATACTTTCACGTTACTCGATACAATTTTGGATCAATCTATCGTGTTATTAACGTGACGTCAAGATTTCACGAAATATTTTCTCGTAAAGAATTATTTCTCACACTTTTGGAGATAATTAGTAACGAATGCGTGAGTAGTGATAACGCCGTTACAAAATAAGCAGATTGAGGAGACCGTCTACTTTTAAACGAGTACAAAAGGATTTTGGAAGAACACTATTGCACACAGAACAATTTGATAAGAGATATGAAAGAAAAAAAAAAGAAGCGACAGAATTTTCGAACACGCAATGACGAAAAAGAGAGAAAGAGAGCAAATTTTAAGTCATATTTTGGAAGGATATTAGTGCCTGGATAGAGTAGGTCCGAATAATCACAATTCGCGCATAACTCGGAATTTCGATCGTAGATTCACGCTATTCTGTCTCGCGAATTATTCCAAGACATCTTCGTCGCGATTAATTTTTCTCCCGTTTCAGTGAAATTTGATCGTTTTCTACCTGACCGAAAATTTTCACGTATATAGTACTATTTAATAAAATTAGAACACCGTAAAAAAACTATATATATATACATATATATATATA